CCCTCCTCCCTCATCCCTCCTCCCTCCTCCCTCCTCCTCCCTCCACCTCCTACTCCACCACCTCCACCTCCTCCTCCACCTCCTCCTCCTCCTCCTCCTCCTCCTCCTCCTCCTCCTCCTCCTCCTCCTCCTCCTCCTCCTCCTGCATCCCAGGGCCCGACGCGCGAAAACCCTCTTGTTTCGGTACTTTCTTGGTGCTCAAAAGTCGTTATGGTGATTAAGGCTAAAGCAGGGTGGAACATCAGAATCCTAGATGGGGTGCGGGTAGATGGGGTCGGAGGGCCGCGCCGCATCGGCGACGTCGGCGATGCATCGGCGACGTCGGCGATGCATCGGCGACGTCGGCGTGGAGGAAATCGGGCTCCACATCGACCCACATCGCCGATGCATCGGCGATGCGGCGCGAGCCTCCGACCCCATCTAATGCGACCCGATCTGGGAGGCCCAGAGTACTGTGAAGCCACGTGGCCTGCTGGCTCATGCTCTGGGGCAGCACGACCGTGAGGAGCTCTGGGCGGCGCGCCTTCAGAGCACCCTGGCGGGCGCGGGCCAGGGGCCGGGGCGTGCCATCAGGAGGAGGAGAAAGTACGCGTCGGTCGGAAGAAGTAGGTAAACACATGAAGTAGGAAGGCGGATAAAGTAGGTGGGTCCAGGCCCGCCCAGAGAAGAACGAAACACAGCAATCGCATATCGATTATTGAAGTAGGAAGGCGCTCGACGTAGATTGGAATCGGGGAATCCAAGAATACCACTTTCAACGACCGACGGGTATCGATGACGATGCTCGTCCTGGAACGTCCTCGTCACCACGGCCGGCTTGACCTCGAGATGCTGGCTGGAGCGCAACCCCCCAGATGAGGCCCAGGGAGTGGTGGTGTCGGTGCCTATCGGTGGGAAGAGAAGGACAGGCACATGAAGCAGCCGCCCAGCCCCTGAAGACGAGGGGCGAGGGAAAGCTAGCCTGGCGAAGAACCCAACCATATGCAGTTGCGAATGCTGCAATTGTGAGTACAATCTGAGGTGAAACTCCCTATGGGGCAACGCCCGCATGCGGGCTGTGCCGCTGGAGCCTTCGGTGGAGCTCCCTGTGGGGCCACGAACCGTGTGAGGTGCGCGCCGGAAAAAGGGAGGGTGCCCACATGCGGGCTGCTCCACTGGGGCCTTACTGGAGCTCCCTGTGGGGTCACGAAACGTGTGAGCGGTGTGCCAGAAAAAGAGTGTCGCCCACATGCGTACGGTGCCACTGGGAACTTAAGTGGAGCTCCCTGTGGGACCACGAAACGTGTGAGGGGTGTACCGAAACAGGGGTGACGCCCACATGCGAACGGTACCACCGGGGCCTTAGGTGGAGCTCCCTATAGGGCCACGGAACGTGTGAGCGGTGTGCCGAAACGGGGGTGACGCCCACATGCGAACGGTGCCAATGGGGCCGTAGGTGGAGCTCCCTATGGGGACACGAAACTTGTGAGGGGTGTGCCGAAACAGGGGCGACGCCCACATCAGAACGGTACCACTGGAGCCTTAGGAAGGGCTCCCCATGGGGCAACGAAACGTGTGACAGCTGCTCCGAAACGGGGACGACGCCCACCTGCGAACGGTGCCAGTGGGGCCTTAGCTGGAGCACCCTGTGGGGCCACGCACTGTGTGAGGGGTGTGCCGAAACAGCGGTAACGCCCAGTGCCGAAACAGCGGTTGTGCCGAACGGTACCAATGGGGCCTCAGGTGAGCTCCTTATGGGCTACGAAACGTGTGAGGTGTGTGTGTGTGTGTGTGCCGAAACAGCTGTAACGCCCACATGCGAACGGTGCCAATGGGGCCGTAGGTGGAGCTCCCTACGGGGCCACGAAACGTGTGAGGGCTGTGCCGAAACGGGGGTGACGCCCACATACGAACGGTGCCTCTGGGGTCTTAGGTGGAGCTTCATATGGGGCCACGAAACTTGTGAGGGCTGTGCCGAAACGCGGGTGACGCCCACATGCGAACGGTGCCTCTGGGGTATTAGGTGGAACTCCCTATGAGGCCACGAAACGCGTGAGGGCTGTGCCGAAACTGGGGTCACGATGACGATGACGATGACGATGACGATGACGATGGCGATGATGATGATGATGATGATGATGATGATGATGATGATGATGATGATGATGATGATGATGATGATGATGATGATGATGATGATGATGATGGTGGTGATGATGATGATGCTAAAGATGGTGCTAATGATGAGTCTAATGATGATGGTGTTGGTGATGATGATGATGGTGATGATGATGATGATGGTGATGATGATGGTGATGATGGTGATGACGATGATGATGGTAATGATGGTGGCGGTGATGATGATAATGATGACGATGATGATGATGATGATGATGATGATGATGATGATGATGATGGGTATGGTGACGATGATTAAAATCATGGTGGTTATGATGATGGTGATGATGATGCTGTTGATGATGGAGGACGGGGGGGGCGGAGGAGGGAGGAGTGAGATGCGGGGCGCTGTCTCTTCGAAACGAGGTTCCAACACCAAAGGATGGTTGGGAACAACTCAACCTCCTCGACATCGCAAGGCGCCCAAAGAAGAGTGGAGCACGCGGATCCAAATTGCCCAGATTCCTCCCTCCCTTGCTGGGGAGGTCCAAGCGAGAAAGTCAGTAACGATGCTGCTCTCCATCAGGCCCCCCTTGCGCATACGAGCACCACAGGGCTCTAGGGCCCAAAAACATCAGAAACGGCGTCCCTGCTAGAGGCGCCCGACCAACTCTTGAGCCTCACTGGACCTCTCCTAGGGTAGGTTCTGACCCGAATCTCGAAGCGAATCCAGCTGTGGCGACGAGGGCCTCCCAGGAGGCCCACAAAGGGGGGAGAACGAGGGAAGGGCAGCGCTGTGGGAAATTTTGCCTCCTCCGACTCTTGAGCCTCACTGCCCCCCCCCGCGCGCGCATCAGGTCCGAGCGGGGCAAGGAGGATTCGACGGCGAGCGAGGGGGGGGGAAGTGAGAAGGGGCGGGCCTCCGCAGAGGGCTCGGAAGTGACCGTCTTCTGAAAGGTTCCCGGATAGCTCTCTGAGAGCCAATGAAGGGGCCCTGGGACACACACAAATAAATACACACACATAACAGAATTCCCTATATGTTCCTCTACGTTCTGGGTTGTTGTCTTCCCCCCACTTCCCATATTTTCAAATATTTCCCTGGGGATCGACGACTACTTCCCCATATCCAAAGGATGGGGTTCGTGTTATTCTCCGACCACGCCGGACCAAGAGAACCTCCCTCTCTGCACTAGACAATGATGATGATTGCCATGATGATGTATGGAGAGAGTATGATGTGAGTATGATGGTGATGGTGAATGATGGATGAGTATGATGATGACGATGATGATGGTGATGATGATGATGACGATGAGCAGGTGATGATGATGATGATGATGATGATGATGATGATGATGATGATGATGATGATGCTGATGCTGATGCTGATGATGGTGATGGTGATGGTGATGGTGATGGTGATGATGATGATGATGATGATGATGATGATGATGATGATGATGATGATGATGATGATGATGATGATGATGACGATGAGCAGATGATGAGGATGTCTCGAGCAGTTTGCTTATTTGGGCACTCCTAGGGGGGGCCGCCAGGGGTATTGCACGGCCTCCGTTCGTGCCCAAATGGCGGGATGTCTCAGGCGGTTTGCATGTTTGGGTCCTCAACATCCTCCGCCTTCGGAGCAGATTCTGAGGATGTCTCAGGCGAGGCGCTGGCTTTCGCACCCCAGGGGGGCCAGATTTCGAGGATGTCTCAAGCGGTTTGCATGTTTTGGTGGTCAGACTCGTCTGCTGTCAAAGCAAATTCTGAGGATGTTTATGGCGAGGCGCTGATTTCCGCACTCTCAGAGGGCCCAGATTGCGAGGATGTCCTAGACTCACTTATGCTCAAACTCACTCGTGATCAGGCTCACTCCTACTCAGACTCGCACTCAGCATATTCATACTCAGACTCACTCACACCCAGACGTACGCACACTCAGACTCACTCACACTTAGACCAGCCCACCATCAGACTCATTCGTAGTCAGACTCACTCGTACTCAGACCCACTCAGGGCCAGTTTCATATCCATCATACTCATACTCAGACGCACTCACATTCAGATTTACTCACGCTCAGAATCACTCACACTCAGACCCACCCACCCTCATATTCACTCGTAGTCAAACTCATTCGTACTCAGGCCCATTCAGACTTAGACTCGTACTCACTGCACTCATACTCAGACTCACTGGCTTTCGCACCCCAGGGGGGGCAGATTGCGAAGGATGTCCTGTCCCAGACTCACTTCTGCTCAGACTCGTACTCATCATACTCAATACTCAGACTCACTCACACCCAGTCCATACAAATAAAAGGACATATGGGGAGCTCCACACAATGAATAGTTGTGTCTGTGTGTATTTTCTCCTCCTGAGCTAAAAGGGCTTCTGATTAGGAGCCCGAGGTGGGTGGTGCCAGGCAAACGCCCACCTTTGCCGCTCCAGGCTCCCCGCAGCGCCCTGCCCAGACTTACAGCAAGTCCCGGAGCCTCCCTTCCAATGCGTTCCCGCAGAAACTCTCCCAGACGTCTAGTAAACGTCCCAAGCAGGTCTCACCGAGGTCTTTGCGCTGTGGCACAAAACGCAGGACAATGGAGGATAATGGAGGAAGACGGGCATCTAGCAGAGACTCGCACCAGCGCGGCGCCAGAGCTACAGGGAAAGCCGCGGCGAAGGGTCGGAGGCGGAGGCAGGCAGTTTGTTTGGGTGGGCAGAGAGGCTGGCTTGACACAGGGGTGAAAGGGGAAAGAGGATTGGGTCACTGGCGTGGCATTCGGGCACTGGCTTTCTAATACTTTCCCGTAGAAATTATCCTTGGACGTCCCCAGGGTAGATTGGCGACGTCTCCAAGTGTCGAAACCATAGGTGGCGGCCGTGCCCAGACCTTGATCTCGAAGGCTCCCCGCCGCCAGCTGCACGCCGCCCGCTGCCCGCCGCCGCCGCCGCCCGCCAACCGCCACCGCCGCCGCCCGCTTTGCTATCCGGGTTTTGGACGATACAAGTTTTCTCAGCCGTCGCCGGAGGCACAAAAAGTTCGCCCGGCGAAGGACCCAACCATATGCAGTTGTGAATACCACAAGTGTGAATACTTTCTTCGGTGGCGTTCCTTACGGGGCCACCGTATGAGGGATGCGCCGAATTGCGCGGCGGGGTACACAACACGAACGAAGACGATCGGTCTTTTCACGATGGAGTGAGCGCGGGTGAGTTTGAGCGCGAGTGAGCCTGTGTGAATGAGTCTTCGCGCGAATGAATATATTTGCATGAATGCGAGCACGGCCACGCCTGGTGTGCGCAAATGTGTATATATGTATATACACTAGAACCATCGCGCGCGCTTCGCGCGCGCTCAGGTTCTAGCCCAGGCTGGGGGGGCGCTGGACGATCTTGGACAACGCTATCAAGCACAGGCGCGCGACGGCATC